GTAATTATGTTAATCTCCTCTCGCGTGCACGAGCAGCTGGATAGAACAGGTGGAAATTACGCAGCTCATTTACACACTTTTCCTGTAGATAGAAGAGTTTGCTGAATCTGACGTGACATGTTCGTACGAACCCTTTGTACGAACAAAAGTAAGAGAAATTTAGGAGAAGAATACGAACACGTTCTTGCATGAGGCCCAATGAGCTTCTGCCTGCTGAACTTATCAGCTGCTGCTCTGCTGCGTGTGCATCTTCATCATCAGAGCAGAAGCCGACTTTACATTAGCAAGATGGATTTATGACTGAACGAACGTCCACATCTTTTTTTTTAAATAATCTCTGTGGGTAACAATACACAAAAAACGTTTTTTTCTCAGATAACTGGGTGTGAAAAACTACAGTTGTTAAAGCTTCGCTCTGCATGACGTGCAGCGGGAGTAGAGAGGAGGGTAGAGGGAGGAAATGATCCTGCGACACCACATAACTTTTCCACAGCGGGAGGAGGAAATTATGAGGATTTATTTTCTTTATACACGTTTTAAAACGCTATAATTTCTTCATTATATTTCAAACTCCTGCTCAGTTGTCTCTGCACTCACAGCCATGCTGACACAGGTGCGATGACGTAATGACAATAGGACGGTAGAAGGTAAATTTCTACCGTAGGCCAACTTCATTCCGTTTCTACCTTCTACCGCATATACCGCACAGCCCTAGCTGCATGATTCCATTAGGTAAAGTTATTAGACAGCACAAGATTTATTGTAATGCTGATGATACTAAATTATATTTATCCATTAAACTATTGGATCCAACCAGTTGCTTAGATTACAAGCATGTCTTAAAGACATAAAAACCTGGACGACTTAATTTTCTGCTTCTGAACTTGAGATCATTTTTCTCCAATTCTAGCTTCTCTCCACTGTCAAATTCACAGTAGATTTTGGGTGAATATTTTTGTACAATGTCCTGAGACAACTTATGTTGTATATTGGCATTATATAAGTAAACTGAATTAAGTAAACTTTAACGATTTATAGCTTGAGACTTTAATGCTTACATATTTGTTCTCAAACTTCCTGGCCAGCTCTTCGACCTCCCGTCTCTCCTTTTCATCATCAGCAAAGGGGTCGCTGGGGTCCAGAGGAGGAGCTAGACCTTTAGGTACTGTGGCTCCTGGAAGCTTTACCTGAAGACAAAATTAAAAAAACAAACACAAAAAGCAGAAAATTGTTATTATTTTTGACCCTGATAGAACAATTAATCTCATAAAGATGTGAAATTCATCTTTCAGTTACGCTGATGACACTCACAAATATGCTGAGGTGTGCATCATCAGTGTGGCCCCTACACTGAATCACAATTTCTTCTAACTAGCAGTCTGGACTACTGTAGCCCTCTCCTTCTGGTCTTCAAAGCAGAGGTTCTAAAACTGAGGTCCCTGGACCCCCAGGGGTCCGCGAGAGGTATCTTGGGGGTCCTCAAAAAATTTTACTAAAATGTTAATTTGGTTTTTATTTTTAAAAATACATGGAGAACAATGAACTAAAAAAACAAACATAATAAACTTAGAAATATATATATTCCCATGGCATTTAGGGGTTGAAATGACAATAAATTATCTTTTAAAACAGCATGGGGTTTATGAGGGGGTCCCTGGAATTTTTTTCGCTCTTGTAAGGGGTGCCCAGAGCCAAATGGCTTGAGAACCCCTGTTCTAAAGACAATAAATCAAATAAATGGACTGAAAATCCATATGTTCAGTCTGGATTTTACATAAGATAATTTCAATACATAGGACACATAGGGTTTTTAGGAAACATAGGGTTTTTTGTTGTTGTTTTTGTGAAATGCATTTGACTTGTACGAAAGGTGCTACAGAAATAAAGCTTGATTGACTGATAAGTCTGGTTAACTCTGGAGAGGCAAGCATTTGTTTGTATCCTCAATGGTCAGGGTGCAAAGAGATAAACCTGTCAAAACTACAAAGTGGTGAAAGCATTAACCCAAAGGTGTGCCAATCAGGAGAGACATGCAAACATTTGAGTGTTGGTGGTCTGACACCAAAAAAGGGCAGTTTCGAGCCTTTTCCAGTAGCATCTCTACAGCACGGTTCGACTTGGCTGAACTCTGTTCAACACGGTTCAGGTAGTTTTCCATTACACAACAGCTCTAGTGGGTGGGTTCATCGTAAAGTTGAGCAGTCCCAGAGTCCAAAAATTGATGCCACACGCCTTTCCAGCTTGTGGCAGTTCTGCTCCATTAAGCTACTTCACAGCCACCATTAAACACAGTAGAAGAAGACCCCAAAATATACACAACACAACAATGGAGGACATGATGGTGTTGTTAGTGCAAACGGCGGACCAATCTGTTGTAAGGGTAGCTCATGACACAATCAGTGACTGACAGTCTTCTGACGTCATGTTTTCAGGCCAGCTCTGTACACTTGCAACCACAGCGAAGTAAGTTTTAAAAATGTGTCTGGTTCCATGAATGAAAACTTGCTAATGGAAAAGTCTTGGAACCATGGAGAGCCAAGTCAAACTGTGTTGCAGAGGCGATAGTGGAAAAGAGGCACAAGTGATTCTGTTTAAACCAATAAATTGTCAGAAAAACATTTCAGAAAATTCTTCTGTTCAATTACAGATCGCACTGTATGGAATTACAAATGTTTAAGTTGTGTAATGTTTAGACAGTTTAACTCAAATGTCCTGCGTGATGAGTGCCAGAGAAAAAACTCATCACTGCACCACTTCAACAATAAAATAGGCTTAAATATTCTAATCAGGCAACTGCCATACAAATACAAAACCTTAAACAATTTCTAGAACTAAGTCACCTCGAGAGTTAAAAGTTTAACAATACATTTATATATTTAACCAATCAAATCCCATTGAAGGCAACCACTACTATACATGTTTTGGTTTGTGACCGGAGCACCCAGAGAAAACAACATGCAAACTCCACACAGTAAGACCCCAGGTCTGAACTAGGGATCGAACCCAGGACCTGCTGTGAGACATCTGTGCTAACCGGTGATCCATCGTGCTGCCTCATAAACACATTATCTGAAAGAAAGGCAACAGTGCTCAACTCTTATTCAGACCCAAAGAGGTGGATTAATAATGTTAGTGGCTGCATTAATCTGTGTTAAAGCTACTCCTGAGATGCTCTTGGACTTTTTAAATTAGGTAACAGTGGTTCAGAGAAGGCCAAAAAGGTGACCTTCCTTTCAGGAGACAACCATGAAGGTGGTCGTCGCTGTTTGAGGCGTGCAGCTCGTGTCACAACATTTAGGAGCTTACAGGAAGCTTTGGTCAAGAACAATGATTCATTTAAACATCTGGAAAGATGGAAGTGAAGAACATCCAACTATCTCAAACACTGCAAGACCTCAAAACTGGATAACACGTGACTTTAAAACTAATAATTCAAACATTAATAGAAATGATTACGTCGTGATTTTGTTGCTGCTGTGATTTGTTTTCTATGCACTAAGTCAAATAAAGCAATGATTAAAACGAGCCTTTTTCATGTGTTTTCTTGGTGCACACATCTTGCAACATTATCCTAAAACTACAGCTACTGTAAAGATTCAGGTTAGGTTTTTAACTCAATAAATCAACTGTTTGGAAACTTTAAGAGTAAAAACTGCTCAGACTAGTGAGCGTTTAGAAAGCAGTCAGTGCAGCTTCCTGTATCATAGCAAGGTTAGCCCCCCTCCTTTGTTAACACGGTGCCTACAACAGTCATGTCTGCGGTCTCCTCTGACCTGAGATGATGATGAAGAAGAAGTAGTAGAAGTTTTTGTTGTCTGGACCAGCTCGCTGTAATTGAACTCTGACGACCCTCGGTCATTCGGCTCGGTCAGCGTGAGCCTCAGCCGGACGGTGGGCTTCTCCTCCCCGGTGTTGTTGGCGTCGCCTTCCTTCCCGAACAGCCCTCCTCCGCCACCCCCTAATCCGCCAACCGCCGCGGCACCTCCACCTCCATCTTTCCCGAAAGTGATGTCGACGGCCTCGTCCTCGCGGCGGCGCTTCTTTCCGGGCTCCGGGGTCTGCGGCGAGCTGCCTAAGGAGGAGATGGTGACGAAGGGCACTTTCCTCGGCTCTGCCATTTGAGCGGCGCTCCTGTGAGCGGCAGCTGCTCGGAAATAAATCGACAGCTAGCTCGTTGCTCTGCTAGTTAGCTCGCTTAGAATGAGTCCTGCAGGCAACACAACGGCTTCTATCTCCTCGCGACCCGTTTTAATCCATATAGTACAATTTCTGCCACTGGCCCCGTCACCTACGAGGTTCTAAAAGGTTAGAAAATTCCAGTTTTGCGTCTTTTCATAAACATTTGTGTTTAGCTACCGTAAGGAGAATTTTGAAGTAGCCATCTTGATCATTATTATCATTATTCAGAGGCTGGGCGTAAGAAAAGAAAGCAAGAAACCAGAGGAAGAGGAACCGCGTTTGTCCAATGGCAGCGCTAAAACACGCCCACCTGACAGATAAGCGCGAATGTGGACGAGATAAGACCTCTGCGCATGCGCGAGATTTGGTGTTGTACCATAAAAAGTATCCCTGCTGACGAAGGGACTCGTAAAACAGGAAGCTCTACGAAACACTGATTGAAACTGCATGAATCAATTTGTCTACTGTAGTACGAAGCGCAAATAAAATCCGTTTGTTATGGAATAAAAGCGAGAAAGGTAACCGGAGGAGAGTTTCTAAGTAACAACCGAGAAATAAATATTTTCCATTACTTTTTATTTATTCGTTTGCATGTGTACGAAGTGCTTTTTCATGCATGGTAGGCCAAACACTTGCCAGATATGATCACCACCGAAACCCTTTGTAAATAATTGATCGTTGCAATCAGTATTTTAAGTAATTTGAAATGGAACTCATATTGTAGGTTAAAAAAATCTATATGGCTGAAACATTGTTTGATTATAAAAGGCAGGAATTGTTTTGTCAACCAGTGTTTTTCATAAAAGGCATTGTATATTTGCATATCATAATGAATTACTTGTAGCCTGAAAAGGTTTAAATACGAATTAATTAAATTGTCACTTTTGACGTTGAGGCAATTTGTAAAAGAAACTTTGAAAACAGGCGACTTGGAGCGAGGTTCTTGTAACGGAGAAGTCTTTCATTGAAAGGATTTTTTTTTGTTTGTTTGTTTGTTTGTTTTTGCACATCTGCCCCGAGTGTCCTTTAGTTTTCACAATCATACTTGTTTTGACGTTTCTTAAGTAAAAAAAAAATAGTAAAATAGTAGTGTTAGAAGGCAGGTCAATATATGCAATTGTGTATTTTTTTAGGACACAGAAACCATTTGTTAGAAGGCTGCATTCAGAAAAAACAGTCTTTCCCACCTGTGGATAAAAATTTAGCTACATAAATGCCTTGCTATTTATATTTTCAATTATTCAGAAAATCCTGGTGCAGTTACATTCCTAGGCCAGTTAGTCATGTTTTTACTCCACATTTATATTGCAGTCTCATTTCAGATATTCTTTTTTAAAATCAACACACAATGTGTTAATATGGGCAAGAAAGTAAAATCCACAAAAATTATAATGAATTGTGTGCTTATGAAATAGATATTGAAGCATTTAAGAACTATTTAGCGGGCAGATTTTTATCAGCATAATTTTGTTCGCAGATTGTTTTATGGCTCCTTTTGGTTTAAACTAAGTTTAGCCTCTGAATATTATAGAAAATCTTAGATGTATTAATCACTCTATAGCTTGATTGCATTAGGTTATTTTCATTTGTTTCAAAGACTAAAAGGTAAATTTATTATGATATAACTTAAGTCAAAGTTTTTACCTGTGCATGTCTTTTTCTTCAAGGCTAATTAAATAACGCATTCAGCGTTGCTTTTTGTAGTGCACATCTTTTAATAAAAGACCAATGCTAAAGAATACTGGTTTTCCTGGTCTGAATTAAACTGTACTATACTACACTGTACTCCCCACCCACATCTTACCATACAATGCTTCCATTTTTCATACCCATTAAACTTGTTTTTAGAAACAATTTAAATTTGTAACCCATCACATCAAAATGAGGATCAGGTCTAAACGTGGTATGTGGAGAAATAGGAAGTAGTGTTTTGAGAACACTTCCAAAAAATTTGAGATTTCCCCTGTGAGTTGGCAAAGTTTGTTTCTTTCCAGCTTGGAAATCTCAATATTTAAATACTGAGATTTCTTCATAAGGAAATGAAACATTACTCAAAAAATAACGTAAAATTAGGTATCCGGACCAAATAATGTATTATCATAACCAACAAGATAAATTAAGTCATATCTCTGGCTAAGCTTGTAATATCAGAATGAGCCAAGTATCAAAATGTAGCTTTTCAAGCCAGGAATCTGAAAATGTCGTCATTTTGACCAAATTTGACTTAATCCTCATTTCGATACGATGGGTCACATTTAACCGGTTCATATCTATATTAAGATTGTCCAAAGACTAAATCATTCATTAATGTTTGACATCTTGCAGGAGTTTCAGGATGTTTTGGATCTGAACAGGTCAAGTATCCTTATTGCATCACTTGATTACAATGCAAATGTTTATATTTACAATTAACCCAAATAAGACATTTAATAAAAACAAGTTAAAGTTTAAAACACATTTATTGTTGCCATGGTCAGTGGTTTAAGACCAGTCAGAAGTAGCACCACCCCAGTCAGAAGCCTGAGCAGTGGGAGCAGTGGACCAGTCATCCGTGGCAGGCTGAGTGCTCCAGTCCTCCGCCGCTATAAAAAATAAAATAAAATGTGAGTCGAGAGGCAAACAGAAACCATTTAACACATCCAGATGAGTTTATGCACAAACTCACCAGTATAGACTTCCCCAGTCTTAACAGGTGCAGCAGCTGTAACAAAATTTCAAAGATACAGTATTAAAGTAAAATGACAAATTAAAAAAAACAAACAGACCTTAAATTGGTCTTACCTGCAGGGAACTGCTGGATGGGCACAGACGGCACAGCAACACCCTCAGACCAGTCGGCCACCTCAGGCTGAGTAAACTCAGCTGGAGGCGCGCTCCATTCACCCTGGAACTCCTCCTTTACAACAGCCTTCTCTGCTGCGGCCTGCTCCTCCTTCTCAATCTGTAACAAAACGCACACCAGGTCAAAACAGATTAACTACAGAAACATCAACCAAGAAGGCACTTCTTACCTCTTCAGGGTCCCTGTAGAAGTACAAGTCAGGCATGACTTCCCATGGGTGCTCCCTGGAGATGGTTCCCCTCATCCTGAGAACCTCTCTTGCCAACATCCACCACATCAGACCCACAGAGTGGTGACCCTGAAACAAAAAAAAATACAGCTTCAAGGTCTAAACAGCTAACAAGGTGAATGTTATATGATCTTAAATTCAAAAACATTTAGGTATTTGGTTAGCCTCACCTTGTTGTTGCAAGGAATGGCAATGTCCACGTATCTCAGCGGGGAGTCAGTGTTGCACAGGGCGATGGTGGGGATGTTGACATATGAAGCCTCTGTCAGTGGCTGATGGTCAGCCCGGGGATCAGTCACAATCAGGAGGCGGGGCTCCCTGAAAGCAGCCTGGATCTGATTGGTAAAGGTGCCGGGGGTGAAGCGACCATGGAAGGTGGTAGAACCGGTGGCAGAGGCAAACTTCAGCACTGCCCTCTGCAGTGACGAGAGAACAAGTTAACACTCAATGCATCCTCAAGCTGAATCCCTTTCTACAGAAACCAGTTGTGGCTCAGGTCACTATCAAACCCCAGTCATAGGACAGGTGTCCTCATGGTGTTAGCGAAACCCCGGCCAGGTTACTCTGGCACACGTCCGACACCAAAACACCCACATGAAAGTGCCTGGCTTTAATAGTGTGCTTCATTTGTCTGCAAGTGATTACTGAGGACTGAACCTTAAATTATGTTTCAGTCTACCCATTAAAAAGGCTTCTTAAGTGTGAAAATGTGGTTTTAAGTTTAATTCCTAAACTGTATGAAAGGAAACAAGTTTTACCCTTGTACCTGTCCAGTGTTCCTGGAGGAGATGACGCACACATCAGCTGGGTTCTCAATAGCAACTATTGCTCTCGCTGCCAGAAGCAGCTTCTCCCAGGTTTTCTTCAGATTAATAATATAAACACCTGGTGAACAGAAGAGAACAGATTCAGTCCAGTCTGAATCAGCCATTGCTACTGCCACGCTTTCCTCCCTTCACTTACCGTCACTTTTTCTCTTGTAGACATACTGCTCCATCTGGAAGTCCAGGTTGGTGCCTCCCAGGTGGGTTCCTGCAGCCAGGAACTTCAGCACATCCTCCTCCTTCATCTGAAGGACATCCAGACCTCCGGACATCGTGACCACTTTCCCTGCGTTACGACTTAAATGGGAGAGCTGGGACAGAATCAAAGGGTTAGGAGGATTGGGATTAGACTTGTTTTGACAAAGTGCACAAAAAACAAAACAAAAAAATAAACAAGTATGAACACATGAAAATGAACTGAATTTTAGTTTAGTCGTGGTCTCGGTAATAACTACAAAACCATGCTAATGCACAAGCGTGAGAGATTATCCTTTAAGTTTCCACGTGTTTATAAATAAAATAAGTACAAAATTAAAGTTTTATCTGCAGTTTATTATCCAGCTGCGTTTCCAGGTAAATTTTAAGTCCTCTTAAAACCGGTTTCCACCTCTGCTGCTGCTACCCGGTAAAATAGGCCCACAAAAGCGCAACTGCATTCAGAGAATGCAGAGTTGCCTATACTATTATTATTATTTGCTGGTATTTGTTAGGGACCTAAAATGAGCAATGCTGATACTAAATGCTTTCTTCTGTATCAGAAAATAAGTTAGGCGGTAAAGACGAGCGCGTGTTCACGGCTAACTCGTTAGCTGCTAACTTTAGCATTTTGGACAACTTGGAAATAAAAGACGTTTAAGTGCGAACAAGTGATACTTTCTCGGCCCTGCTGCTGCTCAACGAATCAGCCCATCTTTACATTGAGTCTGAGGTCTTATTTAACTGTCTTTAAAGGCAAAAACAATTGAATTAAAAACTCACCACGAGACAACGCCGTATGGAAGTCTGAGCACACGGTGGAAAAGGGCGAACGGAGGAAATGACGTCAAATTTATATCAAATTYCTGAGTGTGTGATTGGTCCGTTTTGTTGTGAACGGTGCACTTTTAAGCTTTGTCCTGTAGATGGCGATGTTATGCCTTGTTGCTGCAAAGACTGTAGAGGTTACCAGTGGACAGCCTGTGRTCGGATGAATATCCCATATTAAGACAATGGAGATGGAAAGACCATATTAAGACAATGCTGAGACGCTGACTTCTCGGTGAAAGACTTGACCTGTGTTGAAACTATATTTACTGGAGATAAACTGTTCCAGGCTAAGGGATCACAATATGTACACAAGGATACAGGGAATTGAGAAATTATTTATTGGAACGTGTCATGAGAGCACAAAAATGTTGCCCAGTATATTGTAATCCTGTAAGGAAAATAAGAAATAAAGCAAATGAAAAGAGCTTGTGATCCTCATGTTTTGACACTAAATCAGACATGCAAAGATATCAAGAACAAAGAGAAGGAAAATGTTAATTTAGGTGTTGTTCTCTTGGTAAATAAATTAGAAGAGGGTCATCTGGCAATAATACATAACTTTCCATAAAAATCACAAGTTTGAATGATTTCCCCTGATTTACGTCATGAATCTCCAACAAATGCCAGAGATATGAATTCTACAGATCCAAAACATCCGGACTTTTACGACGTTAAAGTTCCGCAAACACAACATGTGTGTGTAATTAGTTGTGTTAACCTGAGCCCTACAACCTGATGTTCTTTTTTGCCATTTGATGTCATGTCACCACACCCCCAGCACTGCTTATCTCCTGCTGTGATAAGTTTTTGGCCCTCATGCTCTCTYAGGACTTCGCAACATGCTGAGCATAGTGCCTCAGGCTGTTTTACACCACATACTGAGCCTGTAAAAAATAATTCTCACACAACTTTATGGTTTTATGTCTTTATTAATTAATGAAAGGAAGGAGTCGCAATGCAACTGCCAGACTGAGCACAAGTTTAGGGAATAAAAAACTTCTAATCACTGCCTTCAGATACTGAAATGGGAACTCAAGGGGTTTAAGCTTAATTTTGACGTTTGCTTGACCAGAAATTTAGTGTCATGAGAAGTCCCAGCAGCAGGTCAGAGGTCAGACAGAAGAGTAATGATTGGTTTATTTGAGTAGTTTAGATTATAGAGCTTCAAGAAATGTCTCCTATCCACACAAGGTCAAAAATTTACACACACATACCTGAACCTTTGGATATGTGATGCTCAACCCTGGTCCTTGAGGGCTACTAACCTGCACGTTTCAGTGTCTCTGCTCTTCAAGTTCTGCAGAAACCTGTCAATCAGGTGTGTCAAAGCAGAGCAATGTGCAAGAGGTCCCCCAAGGACCAGGATAGGAGACTCCTGTTCTATTTGGTCTCAACTTGACAAGTTTAAGCATTATTAACTCAGTAGTGATCGTGATTGACTGCAGCTGGCAGTTTATCTGCATAAAACAAGATTTCATTTGGCAGCAGTTGCTGAATTGATCAGTGCTCACCTGACTGAAAAGTGAAGCTGCACACATGGACAAGTCACCTTCTGGAGAAAAGTTTGGTGGKCAGATGAGACAAAGACTGAGCAATTTGGACTCGATGACAAGAAGAATGAGGATTTAAAACCTAACACACTGAACTAACTGTCAAGCACGGTGGTGGTAGCATCATACTGTGGGGTATACCTCCAAATTCCTCAACAACAACAAATAATCAACAGCTAGACTGAAACTTGGACATAACTGGATGTTCCAACAGGACAATTCTACACACAGCTCTCTGATTGGATCAGTCGGGCTGATGCTGGCAAGTCCTGGTTTGGACTTTCTAAACCTCGACTTGAACTCAACTGAAAATTTTGTTGCGTAAATGTTGGGTCTGTGCCAGAAAAATCAACAATCTGATATGAACTCCATCACCACTGCCAAGAAGAGTCAAACACCAGCCAGCATTGTGCCTGAAATGTTAGCAGATACAAACAGCCTGTGTTACAGGTGCAACTTGCTAAGAGACGTTTCACCAAATATTAAAGGGAGTTCAGACTAAATTTAAACTTCTTTATATAACTTTGTATAAAATGGAATTAGAAAAATATTTGTGAAAAAAACTAACAACAAAACAACTGACATTAAATACAAGCACTTATTTTCTTGGTTTACATTTTATGGCCAGGCCATTACACAAAAAATGAGGTAAGCACACAGGAATAACTCMAGTTTTATTTATTTGAATTGATTTTAATTTAATTTATTTATTTATTCACTAAACCAGAAAGTAACAACATGTTAGAGGAGAAAAAAGGAGGCGCTCCTTTTTTTCCGGAGAGACAAGCAAAACTTTCAAAAAAAATCAGCACAGATACAATTATTTATACATTCTCAGCAACCCTGAGAACTTCTCATCTAACAATTCAGATCCACACTTCTTCTGCTGAGAACAGGGGTAACTCTTAGAAAAGGTTTAACAGGGCATTTTTAAGAAAATCAAACTTTAAAAAGGAATAACAAACAAACATGATAAAACATTTACAGATCAGTTTAAATAAGACATTGTTTTACTAACTAAACTTTGATTCCTGTCCTGAGAGTTTGTCCAGGTTTTAAACGACTGCAGAGGTTAAAGGTCAGCTGTCTGAGGTGTATCTCCACATTATCTTTAAAGATAATAAATGGAACCACTTCATTGTTCTGCCTTGAAATGAGTCCCAGCAGTAAAACCTCGAGTCATGAAAAGTCAGACTGAGACTTTTGAACAGTGGAGTTGAAGCAGTTTTGTACAATCACTAATAAATGTGAAACATGTCTTCATTAAGCGAGCGTGTTAGTGTTATAAAGACACAGGAACAAAGGCGGACTCCTCCACATCTCATCCAGCAGACTGTTCAGGTCTATCGTGGTGTGTGAATGAAGAACTCGGTGCTTTCTGAGCTCTCCGCTCCTGTTAAAAGTTTCCAGACACTTAAAGCCTCCGACGCTCCTCAGATTAAAGCGGTTGCAGCACTTCCAGTTCCTGCCTGGCGCTTATTGAGCTCCTCGCTTGGACTTCATCTCTTCTTTCATTTGCAAACTTCTTAATCAACGCCACCCTTCAGGACTTGAGGCCAATGCGCTCCATCATCTGCTCGTACACGGTCCACGCCATGGCTGCCATCATGGTCCTCCTCAGAGAGCGAGGAACCGCTCCCCTGAAGAAGCCCTGGAGTCCGCGTTCCTTAATGGAGAAAACAAGAAGAAAAAGATGTGGTCAGAGTGTTTCTGACGTGATAAATCAGAGTGCAGGAGGAGCGAGACGGCTACCACATAGATGGATCTGATAGCTTCTGTGGTCCTCAGCTGTGGCTTCACTTGGACGTGWGTTTTGACGACGTCGGCAGGCTGCGTGATCACTGAAGCCAGAACACCAGCCAAGATGCCACAGCTGAAGTTAGCCAGCGGGGCCGAAGGAGAGGAGCTGATCTCTTCAAAGAGGACAAAAAAAAACCCTTTAAGTTTAAAGTGCATCAAACAAGTTGTCATCCATTATTGAGTGTTTTCTTCTACCTTGTGGCAACGAGGCTTTAGTCTGGCTGTAAAACATGACGTAGATTCCAGAGAAAGGAACATCTCTGAGGAGAGTGGCCATCAGACCAGAGAACAGAGCTGCAGGGCCTTCGGTCTGACACACACTGCGCAGAGCCCCACACACACTCACATAGCTGTACCTGCCACACTGCAACAGGACGAGGTGGGGTAGAGAAAAACACACTGAGCTCATGCTGCATACTGTACAGAGTTAAATAAAAAGTCAAGGCTGATTCAGTGTCACTGTTGTTTTCCTGCCTTTTTTTAGATTCCTCTTCCTTTTTAGCAATTTAACAACTTCTGCATACTTTCATTACTCCTTTATCAAATCGTGCAGCTCTTCGAGTACTTTGTTTTTTGTAAATTATACTATTATACTAAGAGTAACTCAAATTGCTGGAACAACAGAGTATTTTTTTWAAAAATGTAAGGAGCACAGGAATATCGCTCACTTCAAAACGTGTCTTGATGACCGTGATTGGCAGCATCACKACCCCCGCCACCGTCCGAGCTCCGCCCCCCAGCATCACGGCCTGCACCGCCCCTGGCCTGCGGTCCTGGAGGAAGTGTTGCTTCAGCGAATGGTAGGTGCTGAAGTAGATCCCCACTCCTGGGATGGTCCGAACAAAAGACTAGAGGAGCAGGGAGGGAGAGCACATTTTTAGTCACGTGTGTGTAAAGCAGGTTTTTTTTTCTAATGGGGTGGGAAATATAAATTGGTCTTGGTTATAAGCAGAGATTTGCCTACCGGGAAAACACCTTTCCAAAGTCCCACTAACGTCTCTGTCCGCACCACACTGAGGAGCACGGACATCATCCCCACTCTGCCTGAGCTGAAAACGTAACAAACAAACAATCAGCAAAGGAGAGGAGATAAGAGCTGATCAGTGTGTGATACAGAGTTTATCTCAGTTCAATTCATTGAGTTTTGGAAGAAAACAGGTACGATTCAATGCAGTGCAATCTAGTAAGAGGAAMAACTGTGCATGCGTCCACAGAAACTCACCCGGGCTGCATGCCGCTCTGCAGCGTCTGCAGGCGGGTCTTGACCAGGTCCAGAGGTTGGAACAGCAGAGTGGAGCAGGTCCCGCTGAGCGAGCCACACATGAAAGCTTTGATGGCCGGGTGAGCCTGAGGCGTGTGGGCRGCAAAACGAAGCATTACAAAACTGCCTGAACTCATCTTTTTTTTTATCTTGTTCTCAGTTTTGTAGCTCATTCATGAACAATCAACACTGTCCAGATGAYCAAGTAGCAAAGCCTAATGTATGGTGAACAAAAGGTGTCTTAAGAAACTCACCAGTAACGTCTCCATGGAGCTTCAAGGTGATGAGGACTAAATCACTAATTCTTGGGAGTCTCTTCCTTCTCTGCTGCGGTTCAGTTTGGAGGGCAGAGGAGCAGATCCAAACAGCTCTCCAGTGGCAGGCTTTATAGAAAGTGTCTGAGACGATGAGGAGGAGGAGGATGGGTGCAGAAGAGCTCTCTGCTGTCTGAAATCAGCAAACACAAGCAGCCAGTTAAACACGCAGGTCACCTGACCCACAGTGCCTTTCCCATTAGTGACCACCCAACACACAGCTACTCATTAACAAGTCATGATGCACCTGATCAGGATCACCAACATGGCTGCCCTCTTTCTACTTGAGAAATCAATGCACGTTGTGCTCATAAYGAATCGTTTACTCAAGTATTTTATTTTCCTCTAAAAAGCTTTAAGTTGGGTTAAACCCATTTGCTTTAAAACAAATATTAAGAATTCTAATTTCAATCTGTCACAAACATACAATTTTAACAAATTAAATGTATGAAACGGAAATATTTGACATTTTTGTACTCGTTTAACGTGATAAATCCTGTTGGCGAACTGATAAACCAGGGATAATACAAGTTAGATAAGTTAATGCATAAACGTGACATTTTTTAGTACATTTTCACGCGTTTGTTCTGTTGTCATACATTTATTAATTACCCAAAGTATGCATGTGGATTGATAGCTTTACCGTTGCTTGCTAGCAAAATTGTTAAACTTGTCAATGTATTAAAAATCTACCTGAAAGCCACAAGCAACTGAGGAACTAGAGACCGCACTGCAGCCAAATATTTAAAAAAAGGCAGTTTCCGCTTCGTCTCTTGACTCCGTCGAAATGGAGTATCGCTGTGTAAACCCTTCTTAAAGTCTTTAATAACCCGATAATAGACGCATTTAAAAAAAGGTCACGAAAGTCCTTGTATGTGGCAGAAAACAGTAGGAATTTTATCTAGTTAGAAATGAAATAACCGGCCGAGACCGGTTCCGGTTTCACAGGGAGCCTCGTGTCGTTAATTGCAATTAAGCCCCGCCTACTACAAAAAAGCTGGCTTGTGATTGGTTAAACAGCGCTCCGCCCGTACTGTGACGTAGAAAATGCGGAAACGCAGATGAATGAATACAAATTTAAGACCGTCACCTTTAGCTATACTTTGAGTCATGTTGTGATATTAGATGCGTGTTTTAGATAAACAGGTTGTTTTAGGTCAAGTTGTAATAACAAGACTTAAAACGTGTTAACTATAAGGTAAAATCTAACTTTTAGTCTTAACCACTAGTGAACATAGGTTCGTCTACTCACAAATGCCTTAATCTGTTTCTTTGAAAAAAAAAAAAAAAGTATATAGGAATTATTGAATGTTCAAAATAAAAGAATCAAATAAAAGACCAGGTTCTGCCCAAACAAGTTGAGAACACTAAAATTAGCTAAAATTTTCTCAGTCCTGAAACCAGTTCTGACTTGTTTGGGCTTTGCTGCCCCATGAAACACCCCAACGGCCATCTGCTGGTGATGACATCAGTGAACACTTAACACACACATACACACAAACACAGAGAAACACACTGCAGTTTATAAAGCAACTTTATTTGAAATATCACGCTTAACATGATTTCCATTCCAGAAATGCAGACAGAAACAACAAATATCATTTTTCTATCTTTTGGGTTTGCTTTGTGTGAAAGATGTGATCGGTTTATGAGCCGTTAATCTGAACACATTCCTCTCACTTTCCAGCAGTGTGAGCCAAAAGCTGACCCTGGGCACAGCCTGTGAGGTGGGGGTTTACGTCATCTTGTCAAACAGTTCGTCTCACTGCACAACTGTTAGTCATACCCTGACCACACACACAGACTCTGATGTGTGTGTACCAAGCTCTACGGGCTAGTCAACAGTTTAGAGCACACAACGTACAGTAAGAAATGTTCCCGTCCTCAATTTGCTTTTGGTTGACAGCCTCAGCTCCACCTGTCTCAACAAGCTGTGCCCCGAGATTACAGTGTGTGCAGCAAATAAAAAAATGCTACCACCATTTACACATTACCCTGAAAATAACAAACACTGATAGTGATAAATGAAAATCAAAGCTCATCCAGAGGAAAACAGAACCCTACCAAGTAGGTCTCAGCTGCATTTAAGGCCTTAATATAGTTTGTGTAGGCAGTGAGAGCGCACACGCTAAATAAGCACATGCACGGGTCATTCTACGGCTTTAGAGCATATGCAGTGGTTAATGTTGTTCCATTTCAGTGCAAACTAAAAATATTTCAGCACAAATCAAACACCGTCAGTATATCAGTGAGCTTCCAATCGTTGGATTAAACCGTCTTTAACTTTGTCGCCATAAGAACAGAAAGCAGCACAAAATAAGTGAGCCCAAAAGCAAAACAAGATCTAATTGCATCTAAGCTGATAGAATACACTTCAGGATACTGTATAAATCTTTATAAACTGAGGTTAGAGCACAAGCATAATAAACATGAAGCACTTCCATTCTTAACCATTATAAAAATACGTCTGCATAAAATACACTTCTACAGACTGAGATATTGCTTTGGTCCTTTTTCCAGTAATCATCTTCATTTATCTAGGTATACTTTTAGTAATTAGAAAAATAAATCCTAAATCAGGACTATTATAAGTGGAAAATTTCCTTAAAAAAATATCTGTACTTTTCCCAGAGAATGAAAAAGAAAAGAATTTGGCCCATAAACTGTGTGTGAGAGAGAGACAGTGTGGCGATTGTCTTAGTTTACTGGCTTCTGTGTGTGTAGATGTGTTAAGAATGCATAGATTAACTCTGATTTTTAACAAAAAGGGAAAAAAGTTCAGACCGCTGCAGAACTAAATTGCCTTTAGTCTGACCAAATTTCTCATGTTTGTGGTGTTTCTTCGTTCTAGTGATGGGTGCTCGTGTGTATTTGGGTGTGTCTGGTTTAGGATGCGGTGGTGCGGTTCTTTCAGGCTTGGGGCTCTGGGTTCTCGCTCTTGGGCTCGCTTTCCTCATCACTTTCAACGCCAGTGCGAGTGACAGTGCGGCGCACAGTGAAAGGGAGGTCACCACGCCTGAAACAGAAGAGAAAAGTTAAGAGATGTGTCAAAAACGTGACAAGTTACACAGTCTTACACTTCTGTATTGCTTATATCTGGAGCTAAGAAGCTCTGTCAGGGGTGTCAAACTCCAGTCCTCGAGGGCCGCTATCCTGCATGTTTTAGAGCAGGGGTGTCAAACTCCTGTCCTCGAGGGCCGCTATCCTGCATGTTTTAGAGGTTTTCTTGCTCCAACACACCAGATTTTGATCGCTGGGTAATTAACAGGCTTCTGCCCAATTTGAAGAGTTAATTCAATCACTGAATCAGGTGTGTTGGAGCTAGAAAACCTCTAAAACATGCAGGATAGCGGCCCTCGAGGACTGGAGTTTGACACCCCTGCTACATCCATCGCTGTATGCAGACGATAAAAGACTTGAGACACATTGAACTACCTGAGCTTGCTCTTGAGGGAGACAACTTCACGATTCATGGCGTCCGCAGACTCTGTGGCGTCCTCCAGCTCCCTCTGAAGTTTCCTCCTGTAGGCGTTGGCTCTCTGGGCCTCCTCTTCAGCCTCCTCCAGCTGACGCTTCAGCTGCTTCATGCGAGTGTTCAACTTGTCGGCCTAAAAAAAACAAAACAAAACAAGTCAGATGCTCAAACATAAATCTTTCTTCTCCAGGGCATTTTGATGAAAGCTGCTCTTTAAGATCAGAAAAAAATTGATTAAGAGCTTATCTGAAAGAGTAAATGCGGCTCTTTGTGAACACGATACTAATGGATGTGATGGAGAATCCTACTGACTTGGTCCTTATGCTGCTCTGCGTTGCGCCTCTCATCATCCACCTGCAGGATGACTTCCTTCAGTTTCTTCTCGGAGCGTCTCACCAGCTTGGTGGCGGCCTGCCTCTCCCTGAATCAAAGCATTATAGATTAAAATCTGTTGGCTAAATTCACCCAGAACACAAAGCCTTAAAGCTGCTTTAAAATTTAGTTTTAGGAGTAAAGCTCAGTGTTGAACATGACCCTCAAATAAAGGTAAGTACGACTCAGATACACTAGAACTATCCAATTAAACAAACTAAAATCACTTCCATATAAAGCACAGGACAGGTTATAAATATAAAGAGAAGTGTTTATAAGTTTTACCTGGTCTCTATATCTAGCTGTTCTTCCAGCTGGGCGATCTTTGCCTCCAGGGCGGCCATGTTGGCCTTGTATTTGGACTTGACAGTTCCCTCGAGCTCCTGCAGCTTCAGCTTCAGGTCTTTGTTCTGACGCTCCAGCTGGGAGCGAGCCCCCTCGAGACGCTGGGAGGTGCTGCGCTCCGCAGTCAGCTCCACATTCATCTGGTCAGTCTTTTGAGGGGAGGAGGAAGAGACAATGATTCAGCTGATTGATGTTGAACAGTCTGAGTAACGTTAAGTTCAATAGTTTTCATTCTGAACCTGGCATCTAAAGGTTTTTGGGCTCTATTTGCAGAGAATCCTCATGTTTTAAAAACCCTACAAACCTGCAGCAGAGCCTTCTTCAGACGGTCATTGATCAGTTCAGTGTTGCACTGCTCCTCCTCCAGCTCCTCCTCCAGCTGAGCAATACGAGCCTCCAGCCGTCTCCTCTCTTCTGTGACCTGAGAACTGCATCAAACACAAAGTGCAGAATGTTTACAAACACTGGGAGGAGTGCAGATCACAAATACACAACGCAGTGTGGAGTTTTAAGTGGCAGTTGGGGGGAATCGTACTTCTTGCCCGACTGGTTGTTTATTTCGTCTTGCAGTTCATCTCTCTCCTGCTGGGCCTGTCTCTTTATTCTCTCAGCAGCTGCCAGCTCCTGAACGTTGACAGAGGAGAGAACAACAGGAACGTCAGCGATCAGTGGAGGCAGGCAAACAGAATTAATGACAAACAGAACACAGACCTCCTGCATCTGGAGCATTTCAGCCTCCATGGCCTTCAGCTTCTTCTCAGACTCCTTGCTCTGGGTCAGGATCTCCTCTCTGGACATGCGAGTGTCATCCAGTTCCCGGATAAGATCCTTCATCTGGGCCTGAAAACAGCAAAACAGCATAACTCAACTCACAAACGGTTTCAGATTTTATGACGTTGAGTGGATGTGGACGCAGCGTTTCTGTGGCGCTCACCTGGAGTTTCTTCAGCTGTTTCAGGGCCTCTTCACGGTTCTTGTTGGACATGTCGATGCCCGCCTCCAGCTCCTTCAGGTCCAGCTCAAGCTTCTTACGGGCGGCCACAGCTGCAGAGCGCTGCTTCCTCTCATCCTCCAGCTCCATCTCCATCTCCCTGACCTATAGGATGCACGGCACGTTGATAAACTTTACCTGTATCCAGTCAATCCTTTAAATTAAACTTTACAGCATCACTCTGAGATGCTCGACACAAAACGTATAAAACCAACAAACAGCTCCTACCTGTTTAACCAGAGCTCTCTTCTTCTCCTCACCCATCTCGTCTCGTCCTGCCAGGTCCCTCTCGTACTGGGCCTTCATGGCCTGCATGTTGACCTCCAGGCGCAGCTTGGCATCCTCTGTGGCCTGCAGCTCATCCTCCAGCTCCTCCAGCTGAGTCTTCATCTCCTCCAGCTGCTGCTCCATCGCACGTTTAGCCTTCTCCAGTTCGTGCACCTGCAGAGGGTGAGGAGGAAGGTTCAGTGAGAAAAACAAAACCTGACAAACAAGTTGCTGTTGTTTTTAAAATAAAACTTACATTCTTTCCAACGTCATCCTTGGACGATACCAGGTCCTCCATTTCAGCCCGCAGCAGTTTGCTGCTGCGGTCCAGTTCTTCCTTGACCTCCAGCAAAGAGTCCAGCTCACGGGTTAGAGCCAGTGCCCGGGTCTCCTTCTCACGAGCCTCAGCTTCAGCTCGGTCACGCTCTTCTGCRTAACGAGCGGAAATATTCTTCTCCTCTGCCAGCATCTAAGAGTCAAAACAGCAACATTTAGCATTTGTGAGGATCAGATCCAAACCCAAAGAACTCGTCCCTGAAAGCGAAGCGTCTACCTGGTCGAACTTCTTCTGCTTCTTTTCCAGGTTGGAGACGATTTGCCGGAGGTGGTCTTGGTCCACCAGCAGGTCATCCAACTCCTGCTGGAGACGGTTTTTTGTTTTGTCCAGCTTGTCGAAAGCGGCACATTTCTCCTCCAGGCGCTGGGTTGTGGCCTCCAGGTCCCTCTGAAGTCTCTTTTTGCCCTCTTCAGCCGTCTCCAGACAGCCAGCATCCTGCTCCAGCTTCTTCTTCATCTCTGTGAGCTGTGTGGACGTGAATACACGTTACAGTGAGGCTGAACTCGAGGCTGAACTCTGCTCCAGAGGACTTGATTCAGGGCGTCTCCATGTGTTTTACCTGAGCCTGAGCTGCTAGAAGCTGCTTCTCCACATTCTTCTTGGCTTCTTCTTCTTCCTCCAGTTGTTCTTTCAGGTTGTTCTGTTCTTCCTCGAGCTGACGCATGCGGGTGCCCAGAGACAGTTTCTGACGAGTTTCTTCTTGGAGTAGTTCCTGATGAAGAGACGGAAAAAGGTTTTGGGTAACAGAACAAACACACAGTGACACTGTGTGCAGAAGTTTTTGAGCTCCTTTCCTCACTCTGCTGTTGAGCCTCAGGATGCTGAATGTTCAGCACTTTCATATTAGGACTGATACAAATAGATGATCATTTGTCAATGTCATTATTTTGTGTAAAAAAAAACTTGTCTGAAAATATGGCACTGTGCAAACATAGTAGCGCTGGGCGGTATAACATTTTTGTACCGAAAACCGGTTTTTATTTTTGTTATGATATGACTTTTCTGAATACCGGTGTAAATAGCCTGAACACGTGCAGAACGTTTCGTTGCGGCTGCTGTTTCCCTGGGGACACGTTTCCTTGTAGCACCACTAAGCGCATTAGCATGCTAACGTTATTGTTGGAACAACTGGCGGCGGTGCTGGTGGTGTGTTTCAGCGGCTTATATGGTCTGACGTAAAAAAAAAAAAAAAACATTGCGTTTTCACCATAGCTGAATAGTAAACAACTCTTCAGTGACGTGCACGGTTAGATTTAATGTGCTACGTTATAACAGAGACGCTATTGCATGGAGACTCTAGCGTGCTTCTATTGTGAAAAGCCCGGGGGGAAGTAGTTTCGTAATGTAACGGAGTTGACTGGTGTGCAAGGTGAGTCATCCTTTTAAGTTTTATTAACACGCAACTATAGACCAGATAATGATTTTTTTCTCAACCCTTCATGATCTGACCTAAATGCATGATTACTGTCTACAACCAGACAAAGAAGAAAAGACGTACAAAAGGAGGGAAACAGTGATACAGAGGTAATGTAAAAGAAAAAAGTCAATAAGCAAAGTTTGTACATTTTATTATCAGTTGAGCTGTGATGAAAAAAAATACCGTCAAATATCGTGAAACGGGTGTAATTGTTGAAAATACCGTGATATAAAATTTGGGTCATACCGCCCAGCTCTAAAACATAGCTAGCCTTTCTTGTAATTCAATTAAATTCAAATTCAATGCAAAAATACTTTATTGATCCCAGAGGGAAATTAGGTAAATGAGAAAAATAAAAAGCTACCTTGTGTTTTTATATTTTTTTAAATGAAAAGAATAAAAAAATAACAACAAACTGATCTAATTTTTATAACTTTAAGCTACAAGTTGGTGCTTCATTAATCTCCAAGGTGGCCATTTATTTTCTTTACTTCTTCCACATTTATGGGACATATTCAAATAAGCTTGCAAAATTCTAAACAAGATGGTGTATTTTTTTTATACAACTATAAGTTGTTTTTAAATTTTGTCTTATAAAATAAAAATAAAAAAACTATGTGAAATAAAATTTACAATTCAACATTAACTGTGGCATTTTGTAAATAAATAACTATTAAATCAGTTGTTTCACATTATTTTTATTCAAATTTTCTTTAGAAAGATTGTAAGATAGATATATTAATAAGGTAAAGTTTCAGCGTCTGACAGAAACATTTAACTGATGTGTACAAACCCACTGGACTGTAAGGATACTTCTCTTGCTGAAGCTGAGTAAAGTACGGCTGTCGTACCTGAACATCCTGAAGTTGGGATTCCACAGCAGAGCAGTCTTTCGATGCCTTGATGGACTTGCCCTCTACCTCAGTCAGCAGGCCGTTGACATTATCCAGCTCGGTCTGAGGACAAACAACAACAAATAAACATCTGGATATAATCATATGACCTATATGAGACATATTCTATCTGTTTATTTGCATCAAACTGAGCAGATACAAAGTAAGATGTTGTTACATCAGAAGTACTACCTGCACTTTAGCCAGCTTCTCGGCTAGCTCCACCCTCTGCCGCTCGCTCTCTGAGAATTTGAGCTGCAGCTCCTGGACCTGAGCTTCAGCCTTCTTCCTGCGATGCTCCGAGTCTCCTTTACCCTGCATCAGTGTCTGCAGCTCAATGGTCAGCTCGTTCTTCTCTGACTCCAGGGCCTGCTTGGCCTTCTCCATGGACACTTTGTTCTGCAGGGAGCAGCCGATGGGTCAACTCACGTCTGAATGTGAATATGGGATTAGAAATTAATTGTAGCTGATAAAATGCTCACCCTCTTAGCCTGCTCAAGCTGCTCATTGAGTTCATCAAAGGCCTGACTGTGTTTCTGTCTCATCTCAACCAACTGCTGCTCGTGGACTTTGGCTTCTTCATCAAGAGACTTCTTCAGCTGTGCCACCTCTGACTCACGTTTGGCTCTGGACAGGAGAAGCAGTGGTTAGTGGGATTTGTCTGATAACGTAAGAAAACTGCGAGAACAAAAGCTCTCCTGTCCTTGAACCTGGCGTTCCTACCTGAGTTCGTGCTGGACAGCAGTGGAGTCCAGGGTGTCCTCCAGCTCGGTTTTGAGGGCCTCCAGCTCTTCTCCCAGGTCCCGGCGCTGTTTCTCGGCCTTGGCGCGGGCCTGCCTCTCCAGCTCCAAGTCCTCCTGCAGCTCAGACAGCTGAGCCTCCAACTCTCGGATCTTCTTCTGAGCCAAGTTTTTCTGCGCAGCCTCCTCCTCGATCCTTTGAACAGAGCAAAGAGCGAGGAACACACCAAATGTTAATTATCTAGACTTTTATACCTAAAGCAGTGAACTAGTTTTTCCAAAGCTTAGGCAGACCTGACAAGAGCAGCCTGGAGCTCTTCTTCCTTCTTCGCTAGCTGGGCACGGAGCTCGGCGATCTGAGCCTGCAGCTCTGCGATCTGATCGTGGACCTCGGTGACATCGCCCTCCAGCTTGCGCCGGTTCTTCTCCACCTCTTGGCGCTGCTTCTCCTCCCTGCGCAGGCGGTCTGAAAGAAAATTTATTATCATCTAAAATTATTAATATATCCTAAGGGTGGACAGGTAAACCTGAATCACAAATTGGTTCAACAAGAGAACTGTTTTTGTTCGTTTTTAAAGACTTTCTCAAAAGCAGAAAAAGAAAAAAAGAAAATCCCAAAAACAAAAAAACAAAATCTAAACGTGACTAAAAAAATAAATAAATAAATTGGTAAAGATTTACACCAAGCTTCTCAGTTAGCTAAATGCTTGTGTGGAAAAATGATGCTTGATTTCAGGGAAATTGGTACTGGTACTGGTATGGTAAATTGAATAAATATTCAAATGATGTGGTAAATCTCTGGTTATATGATGATTTCGACAATTGATAAAAAAATAATAAAAGAAAAGAAATAAAAACAGGCAGTTAGGACTGTTAGCAAAATGCAGGTAAATAAAATGTGAGCAAATGGGAGGGGTGTTCGATCATAAATGGAATTTACATTAATGTACTGGTTCCAAATGTTGGTACTGTAACGTGCCGTTTCACATTTTTCATTACTTTTCCTAAATCCAGTTTTCTAATTTCTTGATAGTTTGAAAAAAAATTTAATGCAAAAGCATCTGAAATTTTATACAGTAATAAAGTTTAGTCATATATGTGTTTATGCCAAACTATTGGATGTGAAAAAGATGTTTTTCCTCAATTACAATATTTTTACTAAACATCTCAAGACAAAAGACTGAAAGATATTTCCTTCTTTAAATGCAGTTTTGTTGTTTTCTTTTTTGAGAAGATATTAGATGTACAAGTTTTGCTGTTTGTGTTGTTTCCTACCCTCCAGGTCTGTGATCATGGCCTCATGTTTAGCCTTAAGTTTCTGAAGGCTTTTGGATTTCTCTTCCTCTTCTGCCAGGTTGGTGGTAAACTCAGAGATTCTCTCCTCCATCAGCTTCTTCTCCTAGATTTAGGAACAAACAACGTGTTTAATTGTGATGAAAAGAACTACACAACTGGTTTCAGGTTAGTTTTGTGTGCCTATGTGTACAACTACACATGAATTAAACCAAGAGATGTTTTTTATTCTAACCTTGAGCAGTTTGTTGTTCTGGTCATCTAAAGTCATCACATCATCTTCAATCTTCTTCATCTTGGCTTCCAAAGTGACCTTCTCCAGCTGGAGTTTCTGTCTGGCTGCCTCCTCTTCATCCAGCTGCTGCTCCAAATCCTGTTTGCATTTAAACAACAGGACGTTCAGTGAGATGAATCAAACTATGACAACAGTAAGTTCAGTGTAGAAACCAGGTTATTAGAATTAAAAAGCTTTTCTTACAGCAATATTCTGCTGCATCTTCTTCTTCTCTAATGACAGATGAGAGGCGCGCTCTTCYTCCTCCTCCACACGTGCCTCCAGGTCGTGGAGGATCTCCTCCAGCTCCTGCTTCTTAGCAGCCAGACGAGCTCTCATCTCCTCGGCCTCAGCGCAGAGCTCAGTTTCTGCCTGAAGCTGCTCCTGCAGCGCGATCTTCTCAGCGTTCAGCTACAAGCACAGAAAACACAGAGACTTTAACCAGCTATTTAAAAAAATATAAAATAAATAAATCATGCTTCTCTTTTCTCATTTTACCTGAGAGTTCTTTTGTGCCACTTCTCGCAGCTGCTCCTCAGCTATCAAGTGCTTCTCCTTCACTTTGTTCAGCTCGTCATCCTTGGCCTGCATCTCTTCCTCCTGCCTGCTGACTTGGAGAAGAGGCTTCACCTGAGGACAACAATTATAGCAGCAGGAGTTTAAAAAAAATACTGTAACTGGCTTGAATTTAGCTTTTAATCAAGTCCTTGCAGACAGATGGTGGTGAGCTACATTGTAGCCACAGCTGCCCAGGGGCATACAGACAGTTGCAGGATGACTCCCCTAACCACTCTACCACAGCCGCCCTTATAAATAAAGTAATGAGAAATGCAAAGTATTTTAATCAAGGAGAAGGTGGTTAACCTTAGTGAAGAGTCTCCACCACTGCCAGTTCCTCAGTTTAAGGTAGGCAGCACAGTTCCTCTGGATCACCCTCATTGCAGTCAACTGCTGCTGTCTCTTTGCAAAAGCCCTGAAAAATTAAAACTCTTTATTATTTTTGCTACAAACATCCAACACAAAGATTTATTGAAGTGTTTTTTCCTCTTTTTTTTTAAAGCTAAAACCAGGATTTTAATAATGCTTACTTGCGAGCCACGTAGCCTCTGCACCAGGCCTGGAAGCTGATGATGATGTCGGTGATCTTCATGTCTCTCTCCTCCTCCAGGTGAGCGAGGACTCCTGCTCTGAAGAAAACTTTGCTCTGACCGATTCGATACAGGTTGGAATCAAGCTCCAGGGCTTTAATCTATCAGGAAAGAGAAATGGATGCTCGCTCACACTGCAGAGGAGGCAGGAAGAAAAAAGAAAAACTGATTTGAGTTTGACAATCTCCTCACCATGAGCACACAGGCCTGCTTTCCATCCATGAAACCCTTGGGGATGGCGTTCGGAGTCAGGATCTCATATCTGAGGGAAACCATGAAAAGATGGTGTCATTTTTGTTCATTTTCTGCAAGATTAAAAAATATATATATTATTAACTTGGAAGCTGTAACCATGAATCACCTCTGTCTGAACTCCTGGAAGACGATACGGTTGGGGAATCCCTGTCTGCAGATACGGATCCCCTCCAGAACACCATTGCATCTCAGCTGGTCCAGAACCAGGTGGGGGTCCAGTTTACCAGCCTATAAACATTGTCAAATTATAATTTGCTTCAAAGGTTGTTGTAGAATATTTACAGGTGGTTTCTAACATAACTACACAGGTTTTATTTGTTTAACATTTAAAAAGGGCATATTGTGTCTATTATGATTTTGGAGTTCTGTGAAACAATTATGAATAATTAATATCTCACCTGTTGTAGATAGAGCTTTAAATAGCCTTAATCTGGATGAACTGCTTAATTCCCACAGGATTGGTGAGCTGACGGCTCGTCTAAAAGCAGCTTCACTCTCTGGAATTTCATAGCTGTTCATGTAAATGTTTCATAAACTTTACACCACTGTCAAATTTACATTATGTGGTTATTATCAAGCCCACATAGTGGCAGCAGTAATAAAGTGTGGCATGTAGCCTGGATCACTTTCATAAAATTTTTGCCAAAATACACATGAAATGTAAAATTGATGATGATGTAAAAGTTGAAAAAACAGCATTTACACGAACCTCTAAGAATTTGATGAGTGGGGTTGTTCCAAAGACGGCAGTGTTTTGCTTTGGAAGTGGGCTGCTTGTATTAAAATCATTGAGCCAATACTGGGTAGTTATGTTATTTTTCTGTAAAAACATTATAATCCTGCTGAAAGTGCCCCAAGCTGCACAGTAAGTGCTACAGTTGCTGCCGATACAATTTGCACTCAAAAATAACCATAAAATTTTATGTATGAAATTGATGACATTAAAGTTTATAGAATAGTGACCCCCCACGCTGCAATATTTTTGGATCAGAATATTAAACCTGGTTCCTCCAAACAGAGGTTGCTGACAGCACCATCTACAACAGGTAAAATATTAATTGTTTATAACCTCTTCACAGAAACTCCCTCCCTCTAAACCAGTGGTGCCCAGTCCTGGTCCTTGAGGGACACCATCCTGCATGTTTTAAGACATTTCTCTGCTTTGACACACCTGATTTGAATGAATGAGTGATTAACAGGCTTCTGCAGAACTTTAACTCTCAATAACTACAACTGGACACCACCGCTTTAAATTCAAGTGTATAATTTCAACCCCTGTTGGTATGCACTCACACTCCATCCAACCTTTTTAAATTTTATGTAGAGAACTTCACAGCAGCCTTAAACTTGCTTCCAGCTCCCAAATGTTCAGGTGTTTTGAAGCAGAGYGTAATCGTTTTGTTTCCAGGTTTAAAAGGCTCCAAGGTATTTTTGATACCTTTTTCTCGTGGTTGGGGATGATGCAACGAACAAAGTTGGGGTTTGTGTTCCTCAGCGTGGCCATGAGCTTGGACAGCTGCTCCTTGTACAGCTGGCCCACGGTGCGGAACATTCCCTTCCTGGTCCTGAAGGCACCGGGCATCTCGGACATGCCGGACACCTTGTCCAGCCCCACAATGCTGTCAACTGAAAGAGGAAAAAAGGAGAGAAAAATGTGACAAAAAGATACAACAGTCACATTAATGATTTAAATATTTACACAGTCGAGCTCAAACCAAATGCAAATCATGAACTATTGTCACTTCACCACCTCCTGAAAAAAAAAAAACACACGGCAGGCCAGGAGGCGGTGCACAGAACCAGGACCAGTGCAATGCCACACAAAATACCAAATACATGTAGAAGGAAAAGTGTGGGAAGAGAATGATGGAGAGCAATCACAAAAAGCCAGTGAAATGTGGAAGGATAACACACCATGACAAAAATAATAAAAGATCTAAATATATTAAATGCAGAGACTGGAACTCATATCTACTCCAGATTATTGTTCTTGGTGAAAACTATGATTGACTTGATGTGTGTGCACCAGGAAGTTGGCAAACTTTAGTGGCTGTGACAGGAATGTTTGAGGTGACAAAAACCAAACCCATGCAGTTTATACCCATTGGTGCATTGCTGCAGTACCCATGACCAACACCAGGAGTCACCAAACAACACTATTACACAGAGGGAGAAAAGAAAAGTCCAATGAAAGAGCAACAGGATCACCCAAAGATTTGTACTGCATTCAGAGATGGTTTTACAAAGACAGAAACAGCTCATAAAATGAGACACTTCAAAACAATAGCAGAAAAGGATAAATAAATTAGGGATGTCAAAAGGTTTTCAGGTGAAAAACAAACATGACAAACAGCAGGGAAAGATATTTAGAATCCTTTCACCTGGATCTGAGTGTAGAATAGGAAAACGCTGATAAAAATATGCTCTCTGACAATTCTTTACTTCTGAGAGCCAAAACAAATAAAAAAAGGACAGACAAAATGGGGCCATACAGAGGAAGAGATAAGACAATAGACCAGTGGGATTTGACGAAAAAGGTAAACACAAAGGCCCACACACCAGACAGTAAAAGAGAGAAAGCTCTATGAAGAAGAAAACACAAGATCTATTCCAATAGCATGAACTAAAGAAGCTGTGATTTCTGGTTAAAACATCAGCTTTAACTCACCGTCCTTCCAGAGCTCAGACACAAACTTGTCGGTGGACTGGTTGAGGAGTGTGGCCACGTTATCGTTCAACGGGTCCATGTTCTTCATCAACCACTCATCTGCTTTATAGTCCACCTGAGAAAAAACGTTAGGCAGGAACAGTCAAAATGTGTTTAACATTCCGTATGTGGGAGAACGGATCCATAAATAAGCTACTGGACATTTAAATTTACCTTGCCAGCATAATGAATAATACAGAAATCTGCTTCATCCTTCAGTTTCTTGGGCTTGAAGAACTTGGGGTGTGTTCCCTGCTCCTGGAGCACCTTCTCCACAAAGCTCTTGTCTGTAGCCTTAGGGAACCAGCACTCCTCGTCCAGCAGAGCGAGGATTCCAGGGGGACTGGCCTAAACACACGGTGTGCACAAGATGATGAGACAGTGGTGTCAAATGATAAATTTGTACTAAATAGAAAAGTTATAAATAGACGACTGAAAGGAAACTCACAGGTTTCTCTATGAGGTCGATGCAGGGCTGCAGGTCGAGGCCGAAGTCGATGAAGCTCCACTCGATGCCCTCTCTCTGGTACTCCTCCTGCTCCAGGATGAACATGGTGTGGTTGAAGAGCTGCTGCAACTTCTCGTTGGTGTAGTTGATGCACAGCTGCTCAAACGAGTTCAGCTAGATAAAGAAAACAACAACATTAGTTGGTCAACGTGTGGGTTAGCGGTACACAAATCGATGGTGAAGACGTTGGATTTACCTCAAAGATCTCAAAGCCAGCAATGTCCAAGATCCCAATGAAGGATGCTCCCTGTCTCTTGGTCTTGTCCAGGGCTTTGTTGATTCTCATGACAAGCCAGCGGAACATCCTCTCATACGTGGCCTTGGCCAGGGCTTCCACTGCAAACTCTGCTTGTTCTTGAGTCTGAGCCTTCTGGACGTAGTCTCGGCCCACTTTGATTCTGGGTGACAGGATGGCCCGGGTGAAGTCTGTGACGCTCATACCCATCAGGTGGCAAACCTTCTGAGCAGCTGTTGCAGTGAAAAATAAAAGCAAGTGTTAAAGCTGACAGGCAAACAGGGTGAAAGGAATAAGGAGAGGGTATCTGGTTTCACTCACCGGTGTTGTCAGGCATGGAAGCCTGATCTGTGTGGCGTTCCTTCTTGAAGCTCATGTTTCCAAGCTGCAGAACCGAGGCCACCACCTTCAACAAGCCTGCACAAATAGAAAAGTTAATACACAAGCAAAGTCCCACTGAAACAAAGCAGAATATTAGTTTCCTTACCAACTTGTTCATCCTCTGGAATACTCATGATTTTGAAGGCCTCCATGGTCTCTGTGAACAGATCCTTGTCCTGCTGCCCMGGGATCGTGACATTCCCGTTGGAAAGGAATCGGTAGTTGTTGTAATTTTCAAGGAGGAGATCCTCTGTGATAAATATCAAAGGAGAGGTTAAATTCTTTGTCAAGTATGTACGCATTAAAGGACCCTTGAAAAACATCCAACACGCTACTTACTACGCAGTCTCTCTCCTGCTCCTGTAAGCAGATAGTAGAAAATATGGAATGTCCTTTCCTCTTTGGCCTGGCGAATGGCACGGGATTTCTCCAACAAGTCTAGAGGTCAATCTGTCAAGGCAAGGTTCCAGTACAAACATAAAGCCATCCTCTGAACAGCTTTTTACATTTTAATAAGATGAGGTTTAACTCCGTATTAAGACTGCCACCATTAAATTGTTTGTTCCAAAATTGTTTATCTTATATGTAAATGACTTTGTCAATGTGTCAGGGCTCTTTAATGTGTTTTGTTTGCAGGTGAATACCACATTTTTTTGTTTGGGTAAAGACATGGAACGGATGTAAGAGAAAATGCAAGCAGAATTTGTGAAAATATAAAACTGGTTTAAACTCAACACATTATCATTAAACTTAGATAAAACTAATTATATGATATTTACAAAGAAACAAATAAACTGTTAATATTCCTTTTAGAGTTGGTGGTGTAGAGATCAGTAGAGTCAGTGAGGTAAAGTTTTTGAGTGTTATTATTGATGAGAAACTGACATGGAAACTTCATAAATTATTTAAGAATAAAACTAACTAAATCTATTGCATTGCTTTACAAAGTAAGGGACTTGTTTAATGATAAAGCTCTGTATTTGTTATACAACACATTAATTGTTCCACACTTGGTCTATTGTGTTGAGGTATGGCATAAAGCATGTAAGACTATTGCACATCCTGTTTTTATTTTGCAGAAAAGAGCTATAAGAGTTATCACTCAAAAACATTACTATTATATATCTAATATATTATTCTGTAAACTGAAATTATTGAAATTTTATGATTTGGTTGATTATAATATTTTGTTAGTTATATATAAAGCACACTGAAACACATTACCTTTAAACATCCAGAGAAACTTTACAAAGAGAGAGAGAGCTGTTAYAATCTGAAGGGGACAGAGTTGTTCATGAAACCTAAATTTAGAACCAGTTTGAAAGAACGGTGCACCTCAATCCAAGGAGTGAGATTGTGGAATAATCTGGAAGATGATKTTAAAAATGCCAAATCAATGTACATGTTTAGGTGATAAAGGTTAGATTATTAAAACAAATATGAAATGGTTTAATATGTAGCCATTCAATTTGTTGTTCTAGATAGATTCAATGTTTTGTTTTGTTAACTGAAGATTAATATAGTTTGAATTTATACTTGAGGAAAAAAGGGACAGATAAGATTTTTCTCTTCTCTCTTCAGCCTTTCATTTCATTTTATTTGTATTTTCTTTTTTTATTGTACATATAATTTTGTTTTTATGGAATGAATAAAATAAAGTTTGAAATAAATCCCACAAGTTATCCATCCATCCATCCTCTTCATGTTCAAGAGTCAGGTTGTGGGGGCAGCAGTTGGAGCAGGGAGGCCCAGACCTCCCTTTCTCCAGCCACCTCTTCTGGGAAGATTCCAAGGCATTCCAAGGCCAAACAGGAGAGAGTCTCTCTAGCATGTCCTGGGTCTTCCCCGAGGTCTCCTCCCAGTCGGACATGAATAAAGCACCTCTCTAGGATGGCGTCCAGGAGGCATCCTTACCAGATGCCTGAACCACTTGAACTGGCTCCTCTCAACGTGGAGGAGCAGCGGCTCTACTCTGAGTCTCTCCTGGATAACTGAACTTCTCAGCCTATCACCAAGAAGTAATCTAGATACTAGATATTTGAATTTTTATTTTTTAAAGTACTGGTAAACAAACACCACACACTTAAATACAATGTTCCACAAAAATTTATTTTAGGTCTTATATTTGATCTTTAAACRCTACCATTAGGAAACATGGAAGAGATGCCAATAAATTACACTTCTATGCTGATGACACAGCTTTATATTTTGGATTCTCTTGATAACCCACGGCCAATCAATGACCCCTTTAATCTGCAGATTGGCAGATAATTTTCTCCAGCTTAAATCAGCACAGAACAAAACCTTCAATAATTGATACCAATAGCTGGAGAAAGAAACTTAAACGTAAATGAATGAATCCATCAGATCAAGTTAAAAACCTTGATGTCAGTTTTTATGTTAATTGAATAGAAGAGTATACTGGAGTATATAATGTTGATAATATAAAAAAGACAGCTCACATCACACCTATTTTGTGTGTTTTAGAATAGTTGTAAAATGATATTTTTATTAGATTTAAAGGCTATTCATAATCTTAATCCTACAGATTTTAGTAGATTTGCTTTTACAGTTTCCAGATCCCTGAGGTTTTTTGGAAAACGTTTTTGGAGTGGACCTAAAGTTAGAACTAAAATCCACAGTAAGTATTTTCTTTTTATGGTTCTCGCTTGCGKAAGAACCTTTCTGAGGACCTAAGATCAGCTGAAAACATTAACATTTTTAAACTCAAGACGTGCCTGTTTGGATTGGATTTTATTTAAATTATTTATCTGCAGCTTTTAGAATGTGTTATACTAATCTCACATTTTAGTTGTACTGTACTTCTAGTTTAATGCTCAATTGCATATTAACAAGTTATTGCTCTTGTAAATTATGTTTTTCTTTTGTCTGCTCGTTTGTTGCTTTAATGATTTGTTTTTCACCGGTGTAAAGAACTGTGCTTTTAGAAAGGTGCTTTATAAATAAAGCAAAATGAGTCAAAGTTAGATTATGAAGGATACAAGTCTCAATGTTGGCACCAACGATGTAACCATTGACATCAAAGTTAATCCTGATGAATTTGCCCTGGTGAAAGAAGAAAACAGTTTTGAGAAAAAGCTAATATATTGTGAAAACAAAACAAAAAAAACCATCTGAATAATCATACAAATCTGGAGGAGTTGTCGTTTTTGACAGTCTTGGCATTTCCGAAAGCTTCCAGGATGGGGTTAGCCTGCAGCAGCTGCTTCTCCAGCTCCCCCTGATGAAAACAAACAGTAAATATGTCCCCAGCTTTAACAGACTCACTAAATGAGGTATGGAGTATTTTGTTGATTTACCCATGAAATACTTACACCTGAGGAAAAAGAACATTATGAACAAACATTTAAACAAACTGAGCAATAACATACGGACACAGCAACAATGCACGTTACACCCAAGCATATGACCCAACACACAATATCAGGTTAGTGMCCAAATGAGCCAACACCCAAACCAGAGACTGTCGACAACCCATCACCTGTTACACTGAGTGGAAAGATCCAGTGACAACTTCCCCATATAAAAACGTAAATATTATTTCCAGTTAATTACTTCCCTTTCTACTAACCTTTAACCTAAGTTACATTCCGTCTGTGCACCTGTGTCCGGTGCTAAATGTAAATATTAAATATTTTAAAACAAAAACATTCCACCAACATGGCTCGAGTCTTGATTAAAAGCACTTCTTTTGTTGAAGCAAAAAACTTATTCGAATAAAAACAAAAAAGCAGTATTGACTCAGACACGCATAAAGTAGCAATACAGGTTATGAAAAATTAAACCAGACAAAAAGAACAGGCCAAGAATTGCTGGAGATTTCACCCCACTCCCTTTAAAAAAAAAGACCCATCCCATTTGTTCTACTATTGTCTGGTTGAATTTTCCACAGGAGCACATTCGGCTGCCACTGAGCAAACAAACTTCCTCCCTGCTTCCTTAAGGCTGGCAAGACATGTCACCTCTGCCCTCAACACAAAGTGACTCCCACATCAGCGCGCGGGGGGGAAAGAGGGGGGTGGGGGTTTTGAGAAAGAAGGTAACGACAGAAGCAGGAGAAGGAATAAGAGCAAACGTATGGGGAGAGTCAACTCACATGTGACAGGATCATACTGCTCTGTTGATGGGGAAAAAACAAATACAAAAGCCTCAAAAAGAGATGATGGATGTGGTTTTAATTAAAAAAAAATGCTGGGATCCTCTGAGCAGCATTTGTCATGCGGCTGGCAGACAAATTAAAAGAACAGGTTTTTCAGCAACGGCATGAGGCACAGCTGCTTTAACTTGCCTGAATGGCTGATAAAACGTATTTCAGATTAAATATGATTTCAGGTCTGTGGGTCAACAGCCCTTAAATCTAAACAACACTTTACGCATGCGGGGTTGTTCTCACCAACTATTTTTCTTTAAATGTAAAWAATATTGTTAAAGAAAACAAACCTGTTTTAACAGCACAATGTGTTGATGGTTTAACACAACAATAAGATAATAAATCATTCAGTGTACAAACAAGTGGATACACATCAGCTGAAATTGAAAAAGTTCTGGAACAGAAAATACTGCATTTTGTTTTTTAATTTAAAAGATGGTGTCTGAAGTTAAAAGCTGGGTTTAAAAATACTAACCTGATCTTTCTTAGTCTTATGAGAGGAAGCCACATGAGCAAGGTACTGGATAACCTTCTTGGTATTCTCCGTCTTACCAGCACCAGACTCGCCTCTGTACAAGACATGAAGGCAAAAAAAAATGCAGCCAGATCCAAAAGAAACAAAAGAATGTCAAGAATGAGAGATCTTGAGACAAGACTGGCCTAAAATGCATCAAACTAACAGTCAGGAGGGCATTAAAATGGTAACACTAGAGGGATTGATTTCATGGCATGTGTGATGTTTGTAACTCACGTGCAAAGGATAGACTGGTCTTCCCGGTCTGAAAGAAAAGTAAAATAAGAGCAAAATCAAAGTTCTGCAGTATACTTTACAACGTATAAGTGTGTTATCACCAACTGCATATAGTTTACGCCTTTACAGCAGGAAATACACCGACCACAGACAGGATATCGATATCCGGTTTCCTGTGACTGAAAGTTTGTCAAGGTTCTAACTGCCTAATTACTTCATCTCCTCCTGAAATGTGCTCTGGAGCACAACATGTAAAAAAAATAAAAAAAAAATAAAAAAACAGAGCATCAGGGGGATTGAGGGTGGTGTGAACGATGGAGGAGGGTTGCTTAAAGGAAAAGCAAACAGACATGGAGGAGTGGGGTGGGGTATATCCTAAACTAACAAAATGTGTACAGGAGGTGGATTAAAGAAACACATACAATAGCTCCACAGGAAATACCCGCCGTGGCCTCGGTGCGTAATTATATATTCTGGTAAAAAGGTAAAAAGCCGGAAAAAAACATGGCAAACAGGATATCTGCAGCAGCTCATTTAGGCAGGATTCCTGCTTGCTATAATCAGAAGATTTTTAATCTACAGTTGTATCAGCAACAAGAAGAAAAAACAAAACTATGAGCTCAAAATAGTGACTGGTGTTCTTTTTTTTAAGCTGCAAGTCAAATGACACAGAAACACTAACGTTTGAAAAATATTTTCTAATTTTTATGAAGCATCACTTCCACGTTTTTCTTTATTGTAAAACCCAAAATTCAGATCATTTTTTTTTACATTGTACGAGATGTTTTTATGAAAATCCGATGAAAGGTTTCCTAAATATTTTTAATTTAGAAACTTCGTTCTTCTACAGACTTAATGGGGATATTATGCAAAAAATCGACTTTTTGAACTTTATATCCCTGGAGCTCAGTYTGCTGCTGAGCTCCTGCCCCACAGAGCACCCCTCCCCCGAAGCATTGTTGTGAAGARTTGCTGAAGTGGGAGTGTCAGAAAGGGTAGTAGGTTCTTTTAAAGAGAAAGAGGMCAAATTCTAGGCATTTTGTAAGCTACAATGCAAAGTCAAATTTAAAATACTGAAGATAACGGTTACTTGTGGTATAGAACTGAAGTATATGCCTGAAAAATACATAATACTGCCAATTTAAATATACARTTTAGTTTTGTTGGTCCTACTTTGTCATAGAAATATTTATAAATTTACAGTGATTTACTATGGTTGCACAGTGGTGCCGTTTTATTTGTATGTTCAAGTACAAATTATTTTATGTGCAAAGGGTTTTTCCTCAATGTAAAATACTTTCATTGGTTTTGTCACACATCTAGTAAGGACAAACAACTAGTTTACTATGCAAGAAATGTTTCCCTTAAATAGTTTTATTCTACTTAAAAATATATATTAGATGCAATTTTTTATTCAAAATTTTTCTAAAAATCAGAACTTTACAAATTATCATAATCTTGAAAAAAAAATCTGACTTTATAGTTATTTATTTATTTTTTAGGTTGTCACTTTGTTCTGACTCTGCTGATTGGCTTAATAGGTAAAGTCACATTTTTCCTTAATGACCTTACAAACAGTACTGACAAATGTTTCACAACAAAATGATAAGCTTTTTTTAATATTTTAATTTCCAGAAGTTGTCTGTCCACTTTTTGGTTCATATACCACTGGAATTGCCAACTTCCAGAAAATATAAAAGTGAGCTATGTTTGTCAGTTATAATCTAAAACTCAAGTTCAATAAAGTTACATCCTTTAAGACTGTGATGAAACACTAATGATTATTTGTTTCTACTGCTTCAAATTGTCAAAGCATAAAATCCTACTCCTTTTTGTGATGAGCAGTTAAAAATACAAAATCTTTCTGACAACTTAAGACTAATTTTTCCAGTTTTGTTAAAGGGGACCTACTATGCAAAATTCACTTTTTAAAAGTTTTTTTTACTCAACTTTGGATATGTACTTCTAAAAAAAAACAGTCCTAGGACCAAAAAAAATGCACCCAGGGGCATATTTACTGTAAGTAAATGTATTTTTAATGTATGTTAATGACAAGTTTTACACTTCCTACATTTTGTGACGTCACAAGCCGTACAACAACCCACYGGAACCTGCGKTTAGCCCCTTACCTAGCAACCCCCGGGTGAGGCTCCTCCTCCACAGTATAAAGAGCCATCACTGTTGTTGTTGTGTAATGCGCAGCTCATTTCACAACAAGCCTTCCAATAAGGCAATGGGTAGAGTGTTGGACCAGAGAGCGTGAGACCAGGGTTCGAGACCGACATGGATACAAACAATTTATTTATTTTCGTTTGTTATGAACACGTTTTCTCATGTACCTCTATTGTTTAGCTTTAGCCTATTTGTTTGAGTTTCTGAGGTATTTTGTCCGCTACTGCTCCCATTACCTGCCCTGGTAACAGCATGCAGAGTGAGCGCAGAGATCCGATACAGGAGGAGGGGGAGAAAAAAAAAAAGCTGTGACGGACTCTGCCTCTTGGTCTGCCTCTGGGTCTCATATGGTTGTACAACGGAGCTTCTGCTATTACTAGCCATGCTAACGTAAATGCTGGTTTTGGAGGGCGGAGTTAATGTCAACAGATTTTTGGAGGGCGTTACCAACAGAGCTCATTAACATAAACAGCTCTTCTGAACGGAAGTCAGAGCAGGCAGAACTAGAAAATGGGAAATTTTATTATCTGAGAATTATTTTGTGCATTAAATTGAATGAACATGGTCTGGATAGCCCAACAGACATAACATAAAAATTTCTAGGACCCATAATTGGTCTCCTTTAAATAAACAAAATCTTTCTTTCCAAAAAGGGTGTTTGAAAATCTCCATGTGACAAACGGCAGGCATGACAACTCACCCTGCATCATGCTTCTGTAAGACGTGTCTGTGATGGCATAGATGTGAGGAGGCATCTCATGTCTTTTCTTGCCCTTGTACATTTCAACGATCTCCTCAGAGTAGATGGGCAGGTTCTTGTAGGGGTTTATGACAACACAGAAGAGCCCAGAGTATGTCTGCAGCAGAGTTACAGGAAGAAATTAAGAAAATGAAAGATATGCAAAAAATATTTAATAAAGGCTAAAATATAAAACAAATGTATAAATAAACAAATTAAATAAGCTGCTTTAAAAGTGCGGTGGTGAAAAATAAACAAAATTATACCTTGAAATAATTGCATAAACCTCAAAATCAATAGATTTAATCTACAAACCAAAAGAGTAGTTTTTTTTTAATAAAGTAGAAAAGTTCACATTTGCATTTAGTACAGTTACAGGTAAATGTTAGTGTATAGGTGGATTATAATGAGGGTTTGGGGCAAAAATATCCCTTGCAGGTAGGTTTTCATTCTCATTCAAACTGGCCTGGATGATTTGGACCTGATCAGCAGGTTCTGTTGGGGGATTTGACCCAGAAGTAACTGAACAAGCCAATGAACAAAAGAAAACTCAAGTAGAAATAATCTGTTAATATTGTTTTTCTCATTACAGTCATTAAAAAGCACCATAATAAGATGAACATGGACTTATTGCCTCATTGTAACTGAGTTTGACATTGAATAAACTAAATCCCAACCCTTGCTTTTATACAAGACCCATTAAGATGTCCTGGTCAAACAATAGATCAGTAGAATTACAGATGCACAGACTGGTTCAGTAATAAGTTGGTCCTGTCCTGAAAATTTCTCATGATCTCTGATTTGATTAACATTATTATGTTACATAATCCCAACTCCACCCAGCTGCAAGTTTAAACTAATGTGTGACTCTAGCATTGCAGTACATAAGTCAACCATGTCAACAACTTTCTTTATTCCATTATCTTAAATGGAAAAATTTTTATACTTTAAGCATTTTGGTTGATTTCTCAGCTCAAACCTCCCCACATTGCCTCCTGTACTACACTTGCTTTCCCGTGAGAGATGCTCCATTTTAAGACAATGGAGCCTGGAGCCACTTAAACCATGGATCTCTGGAGAACAAGGGAGAGAGGGGGAAACAACTTTTGTTGACATGACCGGGTCACTACTAAAAAGTCAAGAGACCAAAATCACTCCCAGGSCAGAAACAGGGAGTTAACAACAATTATAGGGGCAGTAATGACACTTACAACATGGTTTACATTCCATGCCCATTTCTGCACAAACTGGACGCCCCTCCTCCTCTCTTATTTCTACAAATCTCACACTCTGGACAGCATTGTTCCCTGGAGCTTCCTGTTTACACAATATAATCCCAAACAAGACGGCACTGAAGCTCAGTCATGAAGGGTGAAGAAAGAACAATTGAATATCCAGAATATGATAACAGAATCCACATTTTCACTCTATTGCCGGTATGTACTCCATGAGGCAACAGAGCCTAATGGGAAGATAATTAGGTTAGAGCTTAGCCACAAAGAATGGAAACGTTGCAACATACACTTAAAATAACCACAAAAATCATTAAACATAAATCAGCAAATCCACTGAATAATTTTTTATAAAGGACAGCTTTGTTTTTTGTTTTTGCTTTATACTCACATAAATGAGTCCAGAGTAGTATCTCTCCTTCAGGTTGTGCAGCACAGACGCCTCGTTCAGGCAGGTGAGCTCGGCCATGTCCTCCACCTTGCTGAACTTGGGAGGGTTCATCTTCTGGATGTCGTCCTTGTTTACCTTGACCTTCTTGCCCGAGTCTATCAGCTCAACCACGCACTCGTCACCGTGCTCCTCCTTCAACGAGCCCGCCTCGAAGCCAAAGCGCTCCGAGGGCACCCATATCAGCTTCTTAGTTGCCCAGTCGGCCTGGGCCAGCGGGTTGTTGACCAGATTGCGGTCCACGTAGAGAAATCTGTCTGCATCCGACATGGTGGCTGTTTCAAAAAGAGAAGAAAGTGTTTGTGGTTAATGCAAAGAGAAAATAAGTTTGCCTTTATGCAATTATCTTTTACATTTTGCTTACAAACAGTAAATCAAAATTTTAATAATGCACTGCTATGTGTAATCAAACTCTAGTGAAAACGAATTCCTCTTCAGACGCACTGCCAATAATATGAACGTCACTGATGTGATGCTTGACTAAAAGCATCTGCTCAAGTTAGGTTGGATCAAGGCTCTGCATCACTTTTAAAGACTGAATGCTGCAAATTTCTCAGATATAAACAAACAAACGAACAAACATATTAAAATTTTCTGCTGCTCAAACACTTGCGGTTACAGAGAAACATGAAATTTAATTTTCTCTCTCAGCAGAAGTGTCTCCATTTTGCTGGTGTCAAACCTACAAAGGAGCACAGGTTTGTTTTGATTATTGTTCAGGTTTAGTGCTTTTTATCAAGGGGAAGTAGGCTGACAAATTACTAAACTCCAGGAAACAAAATTCCCCTTTGCACTTTCCTGTTAACTGTTTTTTCCTTCCTAACAAAGTCTTTTAGCTGCTTTAATAAATCTGACTGCTATATGGATCAATCAGAGCGATAAGGAATTTCATGTGTGTTGCAGCATAACCCAAATAAAAAGTAAACTTCTGATGTTGATCCAGGATTTTCCTTTTTAAAAATAAAGCTCGTCAAAATGATATGCAGTTTATAACTGCACTTCTTTGGTCAAAAAGTATTTAGAAATTTAAAAAGTAAGCCAGCTTTTTTTTCTAGTCTTTAAGGCTGGAAAAGAGTGTTTCTTAATTCAGATTTAATCCCATTTTAGTAAAGCCTTCCTTGTAGACAAGTTGCAACAAGAATTTGAGAATTAGTCATTCAAATTAAGTCAACTTCTGGTGATGTACAAGTGGCAGTTTATTTAGGTAGCAGATAATTTCAGATCCAAAGTTTCCAGCACAAACATTTCTGGCTCAGTGACAACCACAATGTGAATTTTTGGTGATACACAAAAATACACTATTCTTTTTTCGATACCTTAAAAAACATAACCAGACCACTGGCATGGCTCTCTACTTCAGTTATTCCTGGCCGTGCAGATGATCAAACAGATACCACTCGACAAACCACTTCCCCCACCAAAACAGAAACACAAAGCTAAAAAGTGGGAAATCAATATTGAACATTAATATTGGCCCAGTTTTACTTATCGGACCGATACGATTTTCCAAAAAATGACCAATATCAGCAAATGTCAATGTTAATACCAATGTATTGTGTACCTCTAGTAAGCACATTGAAGGGCAAGCTTTTCTGTCTCGAAGAGTAAGCTGTAAAACCAGAACATTACTATTGATTTCTGTAATTAATGTTCAAACAAGTAAAAATGTAATAATAATAATAATAATAATAATAATAAAGTAAAAATATTCACAGCATTTAGGAACTGGAAGTATAGGCTTGGGCGGTATGACAGTATTTTAGTATACCACGGTATTGAAATATGGTGACTGTATATTACGATGACAGCATTAGTTACGTGAGGTGATGCAACAAATTTCCTTGCAATTTCCACAAGGCTGCTAAAAAAAATAAAAATTAAAAAAAAAATAAAAAAACTAGGACATAATCATAGGTATTTTCAGAAGATGCCCCCATAACACGACTGACATGAGTTCAGACCACCTTCAGAAGACACCAGAGATACCCCCATCTGTCACGTCTCTTAACCTTCGAGCGAGGTAAAAAGAAAAAATTAAAAATTAATCCAAGCAGAGACAGAAATGTTACTCATAGGGCAGACAGTTTTGGAGACCACCCAGCCGTGGCTTGCAGGTTTCTCAAGTCAAACCACCATAGCTGGACTGCTTTTGAATTTAAACTTTTGGTGATTGTGTGTCAAAGTAATTTGAAATTAACTTGTTAAAAAAGACAAAGACACTTTGATAAAAAGTTGTATCTACAAGTACAAGAGAATAGAAAAAGAAAAGGGAAAAAGGAGAAATTGGGGTTGGTATGGAGGTAAACCATCTCTGACCATTGTTTMGGTCAAAAATGTGTGAAGGAAATTTCACATAAGGAATTCATCTAATGATGCTGATTCTGTAATTGCACTGACAGTTTGGGAACAATTCAAACGAGTTGTTTTTACAGTGTTGCTGCACAAGAACAATGAGGTGGGAGGGGCATGCCTCACCCCTATGAAAAGTTCTCCAATTCTACAAAACATACATTAAAAAATATTACATTTAAATCAGGGGTGTCAAACTCCAGTCCTCGAGGGCCGCTATCCTGCATGTTTTAGAGGTTTTCTTGCTCCMACACACCTGATTTTGATCGCTGGGTGATTAACAGGCTTCTGCCCAATTTGAAGAGTTAATTCAATCACTGAATCAGGTGTGTTGGAGCTGGAAAACCTCTAAAACWTGCAGGATAGCGGCCCTCGAGGACTGGAGTTTGACACCCCTGATTTAAATGTTGCAGGTAGCGTTATTACAAAAACATGTAGACTACATCTGTCTATGAAAGAAACATCATTTTATAGTTTATAAACACCTTGTTGACACCTTTAATTTCACTTAAACAGTGAGTGATCTAACCAGTTTAACAACACGTACTGAGTGAAAGAAAATGTGTGCTTGATCCAAGCCACCCAACCACAACAAGGCCTGGGACAAACCAAAAGTGATGTGCTCCAACACCAAGSTTCTAGGTTTTACAGTTTCAGTGACTGTCCCTGAACAGAAGGGGCATGATACCACTTTCCTTCAAGGGTTGTTCTTATTCATCAGTCTTCCTTCACTTCTGATAAGAGCCGTTCGATACACATTTGTTTGCAATGTTACTCATTCAAGAACATCACAGTCAGGGTCAGACATCAGGCTTATCTTCATGTCTGAGCTAATACATTAGCTTGAAGTGTTTTACGGCTGTGACTGCAGTTTGCTTTTAAGAAGTGGTCTTGTGGAATGCAGATTTGTTAGTTTTTTTTATATACTGTATAAAAAGAACTGCTTGTTCTTAAAATTGCATTTCTCACATATCTTAATAATAGACCTATTGTGATAGGTCAAGTATGACCCAACACATCAGTCCACATTTCTCACAAACTCTGAAAGTTACTAACGTGTACGTTGAATTTGCGAGCAAACATTTGAGAGAAAACAGCTTGTTCAGAAATGTTTGAGAAACTAAGAAAATAAGTTGCAGATTTTACAAAGTGCTGTCTGTTCCAGCACTAAGACCCCAATCTGTAAGAAAGAAAAATAAAGACAGACATTCTTCTCATGACTCCTAACTCTGTGCAAATTTTATCAACAAGCTGTCAGGCTGCACAACAGCTGACAACCATCACTGTTCACTACATCTACTTAACCCATCCCTGGTCTTCAGACCCCATCCCCWATCAGAATGTGGGCTAAATTAAGGCTTCTTGTGCCTCAACTGGCACCAAGCTCCCAGTTTTCTTTATGTTTATCCAGTCCTTTCAGGGTCACATTCCTCCCATATTCATCCTTTATCAGGGAAAGTCGGCAAGCAAAGACATTCCACAAATTTCTGTCCTCCATCCTCTACGACTCCACCCTTATACTGTATACCAATCTCCTGACGGATCCTCACACCTTTATTCTTTATCATTCCCAACATTATGCAAAAGCTAATGGAAGATATTGAGAGATCTGTCAGCTCTCAAGGTATAGGTTGAGAATGACTGAGCTACAACCACACTAAATGTTGAATAAATTTCTGTAAAACTGAATTACTTCTATTAAAGACTGCCCAGTAGTTTATGAGACATTTTGCTAACAAACAAGACCAGAATGACATCAACAGTTATTACCAAAGTTTTAAGCAAAGATGTTGTGCAATGTGTAGAGAGTAAGTTTGTGTTGTGAATTACTCTCAGCTATCGTGTCATTAAACTGTTGCTCAGTCTCTGTAAAACTGACCGACTTATAGCCTTTTTGTGTTTCCAAAGTTCAGTTAGCTGTGGTACCCACCTTTAATTGGCATTTAATGTTAAAATCAGCTGTTGAGTTAAATCCAATCATTACTTTAAGAGTTTAATTAAAATTTACCTTTAAACAAATTTCTCAAGGATATTAGTTTAAATGTATTACTTTTGTAATAAAAACCACAACAAAAATCAAGAAAAGCTGACAACAAGTTCAGTTTGATGATGTCTGTCAGTCTCATTCAAGTGCCTGACACAGATAACCCTGACACACTTCTAACTTTCTCCAGAGAGGAATAGGGACTAAAATTACTCTGTTATTTTAGTTTGATAAGCGCTGTTCCATTTAGAAATTAGAGAGAAGGGACAAAGAAGTCCCATCTGCTAGTTTAAGACCTTCTCTTGTGAAGCTTTGTGGATGATGACATCATAAAACTGATTGAATTATTACCATCATTTAAACCTCGTCCTCTCCTTAAGATTCACACTAAGATGTCTGCAGTGTGATTCTGCAAGAAAACATCCCACTTCCTCATTTGTTGAATGAAACCCAGCAGTACAAACACATTCTACTCTGCTCTGACCCATTTGTCGTGAAAACTGGTTCTAATATTCAAAAAAKATTGACTTGTTACATGGTAATAAGTAGGTCGCAGTTCCTCCAAAGCTAAAATTTTGTAGAATCTGACACAAATATCATTAAAATATGAAATACTATAAAGAAATTGTAAGTAATTCCCTTTCAAATAAGTTTTAAAGAGGAAGAAGAACCATGACAAAAAATTTAAAAACATAAAAGAAAGGAAGGAGGATGGTTCTAAAAGAGGATCCCAGTGACCAGATTGTGGTCACAAACTTAGGAAGTAAAGCAGCAGCCAGGACTTTCAGAAAAACATTTTAGAACAAGGACAGAAAAGGAAAAGGACAGAGCATCCTTATCAGTTCTGTTTAGAAAAGCAGGTCAACCTTACTCTTTTTAGAACCGAGATCATCCAACCATTAGACTCCTTTTCATTCCTTTCCACCTCACCAATTCTTGCCC